GAAGGAAAATTAATTTTTTTTAAACAAAGGAATGAAGATATTCCCTTTACTTTCATAGAAATTCCCGCCCACCAACGCATGTTCATTATTTAGAATTAAAATAGACGAAATGCACCAAATGCATGCGCTAACACGAGCTTATATGGGCTAGAAGCATTTACATATTTCCTCTTTTTGCCTGGGTACCCCACATGTTTCTCTGGCCTTTGGATTCAGTATGATTTTACACATTACCTGAAATTGTACAAAAGCAACAAAGGAAAAAACGATAAAGATTTGGTTAAGGAATAATTAAAACGTTATGAGATATCCAGGAAAATTTTCAAAGAGTTGATTGATTCCAAGAAGAGATTTTATTATGAAGACATGAGATTAAGGTCAGCTAATATTAAGAATATTCATGAGTTCTGGCGTGCAGTTAAAGAAGTGGCGAGGAAACATTCAGAAACCAATATAATTTAAACGGCAAAATGCGAAGAATTTTACAGAAAGATGTATCCTCCGCGCTCCCTATATCAGTTATGTTTCTCGGATGCCAGCCATCCCCTCTTGAACGCGGAAATTTCAATGTTTGAGCTAGAACTAGCCCTCAGTTCCTCTAAAAAACAATAAAGCTCCTGGTCCTGACATAGTCCCCAACGAGTGTTGGAATGCCTTGCCTCAGTCAGGCAGGTAACTTTTACTGTCTCTCTTTAATAATGTTTTTGACTCTGGTGTTGTTCCTGACTCCTGGCCATGCGCAGCTCTAGCAATGATTCATAAAAAGGGCCCTAAAGAGGACCCGGTCAATTATCGAGGGATTGCTCTCACGAACAGTATTCTCAAGATCTTCACGAAGATCCTGGCGAGGAGAATTGGAACCTGGATGGAGTCACGTGGGGTTCTTCCAGAATCTCAGGCTAGATTTCGAAGGGGCAGGGGCTGAGGATCCGATTTTCGCTCTCCTGACTTCGATACAGATGCATCCAAGGCTATCCGGTAACTCAGTGTGGGCCCTCTTTATCAACTTCAGGAGGGCTTTTAACTCTGTCCCTCATAGTATTCTATGGGCGAAATTGTTCGGCTTGGGCTTCAGCTCCAACATCCTCAGAATTTTAATTTTCATCTATAACGAGGCCTCTGCTCAGGGGAGTTTGGTGGGTGTTTCGACGGATAGGTTCGGCATCACGGAGGGCGTGCTGCAGGGAGAGATTTTGCGCCCCCTACTTTTAATTCTTTTTGTATCAGATTTTGAGGCCTACTTCAGGGATGAAGGTTTCAGGGGGGTCAGTATTGATGCGCGGATGGATTTCTTGATGCCGACCTATGCAGACAATATGACTATACTCTGTCACAGTCCTTTAGACGTTCAGAAAAATCTTAATACACTCAGGGATTATTGTCAGTTAAACGGTCTTGTGGTAAATACATCGAAAACTAAGCTTTCTACCTTTCAGAACGAGTGGGCGAATCCACAAATCTGATACAGGAGTTTTTAAATATGAGGGTCAAACAATGGAGACCATAAACCAATTTGAATATCTGGGAGTTTTACTTGAGAGCAATACGAGTGGGTTTCTCTCAGCAAAACATGCAATTAAGAAGGTAAAGGCTGCGATAGGGGCTACCAAAGCAATTCTGATTAAGTCAAAATCCGATGCTTGGAGCACCAAGCTCAGGGTTTTTGACAGTATGATCACGCCGACCCTCCTCTATGCCGTTCCATCTTAGCGTGTATATCACTTTGGCACAATTGAAAAGATTCAGAACGACTTCTTCAAACAGTTATTACTTCTGCCTCCTAACACCCCAGGTTTTGTTCTCAGACTTGAATTGGGCCTCAAACACCTGGCAATCAAAGCCCTCGACCTCTCAATTAACTCGGCCATTAAATTACAGATGATGGATAGCTCGTGGATTCCTCGAGTCTGTTGGGATCGTTTGGTTTTTCTTTTAAACAAGGATTCTAAGAAATTGCAGTTTAACTGGCTCTCTAATCTTCAAGTCATCTTGGAGAGAATGGACATGGGATTTCTCTGTACAGTTTCCGATCCAAATATTTGGGCAGAAAATGAAAGTTTAATAATTTCTAGATTTAGTGAAAACTTGAGGGCATTTAATCTTGAAAGATACATGGAGTCAAATTCATTACAATTGAAAATTCCTAGATTTATTAATGATGGAACGGCAAGATATCTCAGACTGCATTGTCCTATCGCTTACACGCGAATCGTTGCACAAGTTCGATTGGCAAATATTTTTGTGGGGAGGTTCTTATGTATGGGTAAGTGTTCGCGATTGCGAGAAGTAATCGCGCCACGGGCCTGAGTTCAATCACGTGATCTCCTAAATTCATGGCCAACTCGTGATCAGCTGACCCGCGAGTGCCAGCCGGCAGTTACCTTTACGTGCCCATGTATAACAGAGTAGCTCCGTGAATTAAATCTATTATTCGCGTTCGTTGTAAAGACCTAGAGTGTACTAATTAGTTATGCAATTAAATATTGTTTACATTACATTGTGTTGAATGTATCAAACCCTGCCCGGCACCTCGTGATTGTACAATCCGTGGTAAAAATAAATATAAAGTCAATTCCGAAAAGAGATATCGAACATGGTCCTTCGAGCCGGATACGCGGGTTACCACATTAAATAAATACAAGTAATCGGGATTATCTGCTCATTCGCTAGAGATGAATAGCTGGGTAAAATCAATAATCAGAGTTTACCGGTCGACCCCGTCGATAGTGTATGAAAATCGTGGAATAGAGTGTAGATTCTAACGTGCAACCGAACTATAACGCGTCGACCACGTGCCGAGAATAAATTTCTCGTTCGTAAAAATTGATTGTAATTGAGTACGGCTTAGCAGGACCTCACCGCGATTATCGAGGTACTGCAATTAACCATCAGTCTAGAGTGTTTAGAAGACCTTTTTCGAGTAAAATTATCAAATTAATAAACGCGTGACCACGTGTGTACATTCGGAAAGTTCCGTGCTATTTCCCCGGTAAACTCCGTAGCGCCTCACCGGTGAAATTCAATTCGCATCGGCACTCAGTGCCGTATCACAACCACGTGTGCCACACGCGCAATAAAATACCTGAACAGTGCCGCATACGTACTAACGTCCCTCCGTACAATTCAGTAAATTCAAATTATAAAAATTCAGTGACAGGTGAATAACTGTGAGTGATCGAGATTCGAGCATTGCTGAGCACCCTGGACGTTGTGCTGCTCGAATGATCAAGTGACTTTTTCTTATTTTTCTTTTCTTCATAGTTAATAATTTTTTCCCGAGTGAAGAAAACAAAAAAATGAGTCTATTCCGGTCCGCAGCTGATGCGTCTCTCATCGCCGACGACGATACGTTTGAGGAGACATTAGAAACGCAAACTCGGCGTTTCGATTCGCTGAAATGCGTGGTTCATGGATTCAAAAAAAAAGCCTTACCTCAGCAGCGTAAGACCTTGAGCGCAGTCAAGGTCGCAATGGAACCACTGGAGACTTATTACCTAAAGATCAAGGTATTGGACAGACGTCTTCACAGATTGGCAACTGAAGAGGAGAAGAAGGCTTCATATTTCATCAACATGGAATTCGCCCAGATGGGAACTCAATATACGCACGATAAGATTTACTTTACGAAACCCTTGAGAAACTAACACTACTTCCGGTGATTCCTCAAGCTCCAGTTGGTGATCACACCCAGGAGGATTCCTTCTTCAAGTTTGAGAAAATTAAAGCCCCGAAATTCAGTGGGAATATTTCTAAATGGAATAATTTCAAGGGCATTTATGGCAAACTTGTACACGACGACGCCAACTTGGCGAGCATAAAGAAATTCTTTGTTCTTCGCGCATGCCTAGAAGGAGAAGCCTTTGAATTGATCGAAAATATCGACGGGTCATCAGAAAATTACGCCTGAGCGTGGAAGCTCCTGAATGATCGGTATGATGATGAGAGCAGACTGATTTGGACTCATCTCAAGGACTTATTCAGTATTAGAAAAATAAAAAACGATACGTCTGATGAGGCACGCCGCGTTTATGACAAGACCATTAGTGCTCCCGAAGTACTCGCTAACTTGAAGAGGAAAGTTGAACATTGGGACGACATCCTGGTCTACCTCACCGTCAACAAGATGGACAACGAGACGCGCAAGCATTGGGAGCTCAACATCAACAACGTCAACGTATTCCGAACCTTCACAGCAGTTGCACACTTCCTCGACGAACGCGTCAAACGTTTGGATCGACTCTCTGTCAGTACCACTGCCACGCGCTCAACGAACAAGTCATCATACAAGGTTATGCACGCAATAGCTGATGATAAGGTTGTATGCCCTCATTGTAAAGCAAACTATTCATTAACCTCTTGCTTCAAATTTAAAGCTAAATCGGTCACTGACAAGCGTGAATTCGTCAAAACTAATTCCCTTTGTTTCAATTGTCTCCAAGGTAATCATGGCGTCAAGGACTGTGAGCACACTGGAAGGTGCAAAAATTGTAAAAGGAGATACCACCCCCTTGTTTGTTCATCACCAGTAAGATCTTCAACTGAGAAAGCTAAGTTCAACGCATCTCACGCAAAAGTTGACACCAGTGATGAGGAAAATTCCTGTCTAGAGGAACAGAGCGAAACCAGCAGCCATTCTGATGAAGACGAGGAAACGAGGAACAGCTTGTCAGAGCAATCAGCTGACCACGTCAATCAACTCCGTACTCGTCGCTACCGCCCGAGTACGCCTACGAACGGTCGACGGGCGCTCAATCATAGCAAGAGCTCTCCTCGACCAAGGATCCGTGTAGTCGTTCATCAGTGAGTCCGCGAGTCAAGCCCTACGTGCTCCAAGAATCAAGATCAACATCTCCATTTCGGGAGTTAATGGAAATAAAACAGCTTCGTGTAAGGCAGCGATATAATGCGCAATAGAACCTCATGACGCAAAGGAACTATCACTTCTCCTCATCGCCCATGTGCTGCCCAAGCTGACTTCGTACGCACCACGACGAGACCCCATGGAAGTCACATGGCATCATCTACGTGGACTCAAATTCGCAGATCCCAACCCCACTGATGATGGGAAAATTGACCTGATCAATGGCGCGGATCTCTACCCGGCCATCATCCTGGAAGGAATACGAAAAGGATCAATTGGCACACCCATGTCACAAGAGACAATTTTCGGATGGGTAGTTTCTGGACCACAAACTACTACACGAGCTCAGGACCAGCAAGTATACGCGTCGTTGAATCGCTGCATAATCGGAGAGCCACTGCACGACTTGATCCGCAAATTCTGGGAACTGGAGGAGCTCTCAGTCCACGTCAGCCTGAGTAAAAAATATCAGGAGTGCGCGGACCATTTCAAGGTTACCCACACGCGAGACAAGAGTGGAAGGTATTCATTACATCTCCCACTGAAGAGCGCGCTACCTGTCGACATTGGAGAATCATACAGCATCGCAAGGAAGTGTTTCGAAATCCAGAGAAATCGCTTCCGAGCCACACCGCAACACCAAGCCGAATACGACAAGTTTCTTCAAGAGTATTTGGACCTGGGGCACATGTCATTGTCACCAAGCAGGGATCAACCAGACCAAAAACCAGTGTACTTGTCACACCATGCATTTCTTCGAAAAGACAGCACGACCTCACCGATCAGACTCGTTTTCAACGCGTCTAACCGTACCACAAACGGATCGACACTCAACGATCACCTCCACGTCGGACCCCAGCTGCTGCCCGACCTGATGGACGTCATCCTGAAGTGGAGAATGCATACCCTTCGCGCCCTTCGCGCCCTTCGCGCCGACATTGAAAAAATGTTCAGACAAATTCTCATGACTCCCGAGGAGAGACACCTTCAGAGAATTCTATGGCAACCACCAGGCTCCAAGGAAGTGAAATCATATGACCTGCAAACAGTGACGCATGGCACAGCACCAGCCCCGTACCTAGCCAATCGCACTTTGAAAGAACTGACTGCGGATGAACGCGGGAGATTCCTCCGAGCAGCCGCGATCCTCGAGAATGATTTCTAGATTGACGACATAGTGACTGGAGTCTACCTGCGCAGTTTACCTGCGAGTCACCGGAGACAACGATAAGCTTACAGATGTCAAGCTAGTCCTAGGCAAATCCCAGGTTGCCCTAATTCAACACCAAACAGTAGCGAAATTGGAATTATGCGCTGCACACCTACTGGCCCGAGTGCTAGAGAGAATCAAGAACTCAATGAAACTGGACACAGTACCCATGTACGCCTGAAGTGATTCACAAATCGTCCTTGCATGACTACAGAAGCATTCATCACACTGGCCGACCTTCGCCGCAAATCGAGTGTCTGACATTCAGACGCGAGTTCCAACGGCAAACTGACGCCACGTGCAAACTTCATCCAACCCAGCAGATTGTGCCTCACGCGGAGTACTGCCAGCTGAACTAGTTGCCCACAAGCTCTGGTAGAGCGGACCCAAATGGCTGAAACGTGAGTCAGGTCAGTGGTCTCAATCCCACCAAATTAATAATCCACTCATTCAAACAGTTACAGACGAGACCATAACTCTCATCGGTTGCACCGCGCGTCACAACATCCAGGTGATTGATGACCACACGACTAGAGGGATAGCCAACCTCCCTTTTCGAGTATCATCATGGCAGAAGGTTCTCGGGATCACTGCTTGCTGTCTGAAATTCCTTAACAGACGACAAAATCAACCAACATTAACACTCAAAGCATTGTTGGAGAAGGCACATGACTTCTGGATCCGCCAGGTACAAGCCGATGCCTTTGCAAAACAATTGGAATTGTTAAAGAAGGAACAACCGCTCTCCCAGAAGGATGAACTTCTACGTCTACACCCTGCTGTGGACCCCAAGGGCATCATAAGAGTCAACGGTCGCATCGCCAAGGCTGCAATCTTGTATGATGAAAAACACCCCATCATACTACCAGCAGGGAGAATCACCGACCTCATCATTGACGACACGCATCGCCGAACGCTCCATGGCGGACTCCAGATAACACTCAGCACGTTGAGACAACGATACTGGGTCATCAACGCAAGACGACTCGTGAAAAGCCACATCCACAAATGCGTAAAGTGCATTAGATTCGATGGAAAGCCAGCACATCAAATTATGGCAGCGCTGCCACCTCCACGCGTGACTCCATCCCCGCCATTCACCCACACAGGGATGGACCAGTGGGCCAGTGAATGTGCGTACCACCGAAGGTCCAGGACATAAGGCATACACGGGCTATATTGCACTCTCCGTGTGTCTGGCTACCCGAGCAATACACCTTGAATTAGTATCCGACTACTCCACCAAGAAGTTCCTGGCTGCATCAGACCGCTTCACATCATGCCGAGGGCTCCCATTTGATCTTTACAGCGACAACGGGACCAATTTCCAAGGAGCAGAGCGCGAACTACGCGAGAAAATGGACCAACTCGAGCAGAATGAGGAGCTGAGAAGCACCATCGCAACGAGGAAAATCGCGTGGCGTTCCATACCACCCAGCTCACCGCACTTTGGTGGATTATGGGAAGTAGGAGTGAAATCAGTAAAAACCTTGCTGAAAAGACTCCTGGACGAGCGTACACCAAGATTCGAGGAATGAACTACACTCCCGTGTAAAATTAAGTGTAACCTGAACTCGAGACCCATCGGACTCCCCCATGATGACCCCGGCGACATCGCCCCATTAACCCCTGGGCATCTGTTGAAAGGAAGACCTCTGAATGCAGTACCAGCAGACTCAACGCTGGACCTGAACGTCAACAGACTGTCTCGATGGGAATTCATCCAAAACATCAATGAGAACTTCTGGAGTCGATGGCGCCACGAATACCTCTACGCGCTGCAAACTCGCCAGAAGTGGAAGACAGACCAGCAAAACCTGAAAATCGATGACGTCGTACTTATTCAGGACTTGCCAACTCCTCCTAGCCAATGGTCATTGGCACGAGTCATAGAAGTTTACCCGGACGAGGATGGAATGGTCAGATCGGTGAAACTGACGACGAGCACCTCTACATACACGCGTCTCATCGTGAAGCTAATCCCCCTATGCGTGGGAGATGCCATGGCGGGCGGCGAACCGCCCTTCACGAAATAAAAAATTGTCGTTGACAAAATTAATCCGTTTAAGATTGTTTCAGAGTACGGAGCTGCTTCGTTCTGATAAAGGAGAACGAGACGGGCGGTATGTTCGCGATCGCGAGAAGTAACCACGCTACGAGGCTGAGATCAATCACGTGATCTCCAAAATTCATGGCCAACTCGTGATCAGCTGACCCGCGAGTGTCAGCCGGCAGTTACCTTTACGTGCCCATGGATAACAGAGTAGGTCCGTGAATTAAGGGATCATTCTGGTTTAAAATTTTTCAAAAATCGATTTTTTTTTTCATTTTCGGAAAGGATACACATTCAAAAGTATTGTGTAAAATTTTTAGAATATTTGGAGATGTCTAACTATGAATAACTCGGACATTTTCTTAACCGCGGGACGCAACTGACCTGCAGCCCTCTTACTACCTGTGCGCGCTCGGCCGACCCGTCTATTGTCTAATCCGCTTTCTGTTTCCATTCATTCAAACAGCTGCTCAGTTCGGTTTCCGTTAGATTTTTGAGAAGCGGCATCAGTTTTCTCTCCGAGGTTGAACAAGCAACATCAGTACGCACACTATTTTTCATTATGGACCAAAAATCTACAAAATACGGAAAATCCCGTGCAAAGTGGCAGCCTGCATTTTCAACGAAGGATTCACTCCGATTTTAAAAATAATGGACGTTATGGGCGTAAAACTTGGACCGACTTCCGTCAATTTTGCCGAAGACCGCGATAAAAAGCGCATGAAATTGGCTAATCGACGCAGCTCCCAGTCTTCCAAAGAGGCCAGAACTGAGCAAAAGAAGGCTAGACTGGAAGAAAATGAAAATTTTGAGCAGGCTGAAGGCATTTTGTACGGTGCAGGCATTGCAGATTAAGTGAAGGTAAGATTTTTTCATGATTTTTCACTAAAAAAATCTTTAAACGCGTTTTTCTCAAAACTACATTTTTCCGGTCGGCGGCGGTGATTTCTCCGTAACCACTGAACCGATTCTCTTGAAATTTTAACCACATATTCCCCACATAAATAGCTCTCCAGTAAAGCAGAATTATATTAAAATTTTAATTTTTACTATTTTTTTTCACGCGAAAAACGCAAAAAAAAACGCGTTTTTCAGGTTTTTTTTTTACATGTCCGCCATTTTGTTAATTATTAATAAATAATTATAATTCTGCTTTGCAAGAGAGCTACACTCATACTGAATCTAAATATTTTTGGTTTTTTCATTTCAGATGATCCATCATCGAGATATCAACGCCGCCAGTGACATGTCAATTCCGCGAGACGTTACAATTGGCGGCCATTTTCATAAATATAAAGAGTTAAATATTAGTTGAAAAAATTTTTTTTGTGTTTTTTAAGATCATATTTACTGGACTTATTTAATAAATTATTATTATTTCTATAAATAAAAGCCTAAATAAATTTATTTAATTGTCCGTTTTTTTAAGTGTCTAAACCAGAATGATCCCTTAAATCTATTATTCGCGTTCGTTGTAAATACCTAGAGTGTATTAATTAGTTATGCAATTAAATATTGTTTACATTACATTGTGTTGAATTTATCAAACCCTGCCCGGCACCTCGTGATTGTACAATCCGTGGTAAAAATAAATATAAATTCAATTCCTAAAAGTGATATTGAACAGTCAGATTTTCAAGCTCAACCCTAAGGACTACTGCAGGATCTGTCACTTTGAGGTTGAGAGCATATTATTATTAGATGCCCATTTTATCGCGAAATCAGAGTAACACATTTTAAGACTTTACTTGGGGATAGATACAAGGAGGACATTTTGCATCCTCTTTTAAACATTGTTGATCCGAAACAACTGAAACGTTTGTCTCTTTTTATGAATGACGCCTTGAACTTCCGTGAGCGCCTTTTAAATATGGAGGATGATTGTCCTTGAATTGGTGAAATAAATTGCATGTTTCGAGTTACTCTACTAACTGCACACATCTGAATATCTCTAAATATATATATATGTACTTTTTTGTACATATGCTAGCCCCCCCCCCCCCCCCCCCNCCGTGCAATGGGAGTGTGGTGCAAAATGTAAACTCCCCCGGGCAAGTATATTAAATAAATAAATAAAATACACATTACCTTCTATTTTTAGTCTTCTAGTCAGTGAATTATCAATTTAAACATAAACTTCATACGAACCCGTGTATAAGAGAAAATAAGTTTATTCATTTCTGCCGAGACTACTGCGATTAATGTTTTTTTTAAGTTAGACAAGTAAGTCTTATATGTTTTGCTGAGAGCCGAAAAATTACAGAATTTCCTTTGAACACAAAAAAAAACACATTTACCGAAAATTTACTGACACTGGCTATACATCCTTAACCGAGACAGATATTGTAACTACCTTTTAACTTCGTCATAGTCGCATTGAAACAAACGTATTAAGCTATGACTGAATTCATTTGAAGCGCAATATCTAAAGATCTCTGCGGAATTCTGATTTTCGAAAAATACGAAATTTTGGAAAAATTTCACAGTAATCAAAACAACGATGATTGCTATCGCTTTCATCTTCGCACTCGGTCAAAAGGACATCCCAATGAATTCTTTAAGCGATCATTCAATGAATTTAGAACATTTTTTTTAGTTATCGTATTCCAACTAAAATTTGGAAAAAATTCGAAAATTAAAAAAATTAATCAATGGATTAAATTTCAATTAATTGCGATGGACAGGGCTTAGGGACACCTTCATTTAAGAAAAAAACATTAACGAAAAACTTTGTCACATACATACATACTGTAACGTGGTATTTTTCAGATTTCGGCCGTTCAGCGGTTGTCGGAATTTTCCACACAATGAGTCACTTTATTGACGAGGCGAGAGTCATTTTATTATTATTTTGGACCTTGATTAATGCATTTTTGTTTTGTATCGAATCGGCGTCTGACCGCTCACCGGATAACATCGTGGGATGTAGTTCGGATCATCGCGGGATGGAGCCCGGATCTTCGTGGGATACTTCGATAACCCTGCTTCGAGTCTCGGATGCGTAGTACAAGATATTAGGCCAGCATATTATTTTGAATGGCCCCGAGTGGCGGCGCCAGGATATCGAGTCAGAAAATTTTGGACTCAGACGACGATATCATCATCGGATTGGAAAATTCTGGACTGACTTGAGACGTCCCGAAAAATAACGACTGATGATTAAAATTATTCGGAATTTTGTGGACCGATATTTTTTTTGTTTACGATATATTCACACCGCTAAATATTATATCGCGGGCGTGAAATGATTGTTGAAATTCTGTTGGCTCAGGTTCGATACGATTTCTACGTTCAATCAGAATGGAGAATTCGTCATGGTGGGCCAATCATTTGATCATCTGGTGTCGGAGCGTTGTATTGTGAGTTAGGGCCTCTGGCAATGGTCACTTATTGTTTGAACACCAGACACATCGCTGTGCGAATATTCGGCTCATCTTATAACGGCCGACTTATGATTTGGAAATTGCTGTCGGGACCCGAGGTTCTACTGAGGGCTGTTTTAGACATTTTGGGGAAGGCTTGAGCCTAGATCTACCGTCATCGGGATATATTTGATTGGTGAGCGGTGGATTTATTTTGAAGTGGTAAAAGTGTCTCATAAGGAGTGAGTTTGGCATTTGGATTTTGATGGACGTGTGATCCATGACGATTGACGCCATTTGATTTCGTAATATATTTAGGCCGATGCTCACCCCTTGTTCGGCAGAGTCATTATTTTCGGGTCTAATTTCTGATTAATTCAATTGTCCGATGAATTTACAGAATTTGTATTTTGTTTCCTCCCGATAGATTCCAGTAAACTTCAGTGATACTAATAGTTAATTTTATTGACTCTCGTTTCGCCTCCGCCGCGTAATTAATATTGATTCTTCGGGTATTATGGCTGTTTAATAACCCGAAATTAGTTTTATTTTCTTTCGAGGCATTTTTGAAACTTTTCTCTCGGCCGCTGAAAATCGAACTTCATCGCATTGAATTTTCGGCGTATTCGTTCAGAGGCCGTTAGATTATCGTAGTTATTGTCAGAGGGATTCTAGCGTTTTTTGGCGTTCGAGTTATTGTCTTTTGCCGGGTGACCTATATTCAGTTGCCGGCTGTATTTGTTTTCCTTTCTCGAGGCAATCCCCCTCTTAATAGCCTGAAGAGTTAGATTCTTATTCATGCCACTTTGGGTAGAGGCGCTGGTTTCTCGGGGTAATAGTAGATGCCTGCACCGTGGTTATTTAAACTCATTGGTAATTCAACTAGTAATTTTATCGTTTGACCTTTTCTTGGATTATGGATTAATTGACTCATTTTGGCTGTCTTTTAATTGACTAGTATTTTATCGTTTGATATATCGCGGCTAGGAAATTGTGTTGTACCAAGTCCTTAATCGGTTATTTATTATTTTGTTACTTGTTTTCGTGGTTTATTTCCGGGGATTGAGTGCCTAGAATATTGAGAATAAGACGGGGTTTATTTTATTATATTTTATTTATAATT